GGCGACTTACTCAGCAGAGCTCTCTCTCTCTCTTTCTCTCTCGACTCATGTTTGCCTTGTGACTTCGCGTATAACTTAGTCATTATCATTTTGTCGTAACTCTGATTATTGTACCTACGGATTTATGCGATAAATCATGGCTTCGAGTTAATTAGCACTTTGTTTCGATGGAGTGTGTGTGTGTGTTTTTTTTCAATAAAATACGCATACACAAACGATGTCGAAACGAGTTTCAACGGTAAGTAAATAAAAACGATTCGTCAGCTCGCTGGTGTTTCGCCTTCGAAAAATGCTTATCGATTTTGGTGATGTCGAGCGATGAATTAACACCGGGAGAAACCATATAATTATTTTAACTCTAGGGAGGGAGAAAAAAATGTTTTTTTAAACAAACAACAACCTCCGCCGTTCCTGAGGCCAGCCCTGGCAGCGCATTTGAGCTGTTCCTGCAACCTGGCGATCAGCGTGTCCTGATTAACGGTCTCGTTTTTCTTGCTGTTCGACCAGCGCACAGTGGCCAAAGTGTCCCAGACCCTGGCAATCGTGGAATTCCTACGTTTGGCATCTTTGGATGCGGCTCTATGGTGATGGGTTTTGTTGGCTGCCTTGGACCGGAATTTTCGCTGCGGCTGCCGGTTGCGTCCAAAGCGCTGGATCCGCGCAGTCGTCGGTATCATCGGAGTCGACGAGGCTGGCCGACTCGACTCGTCGTCCTCGTTATCCTCCTCGTTGTTGTTGTCTTCGTCCATTTGGCGCTGACCCGTCAAACCCGCTATTATCGGCGAGTGCAGTTCCAACATATTGCTGTTGCAGTTTGCCTTCTTAATTATCGTCTTTGACTGTAGTTGTACTACTCTCGGCACATGTGATTCTTGATACTGACCCTGGTCCTTTTTCTTCTTCACTTTCTCTTTTGGTTTTTATAGCGAAGAGACAATAATTGGTAATATTTATTTTTATTTCTTATGAATAGACAAACTACTAGTCGTTGGCGAATTATTTTTGAAAACATTTCAAGCAAAGTATAAAGCTGTGTCAGATGATCGCAGTTTTGTAAGTACCATGATTGCTCAGAATTTTAAAGAAGTACGAGGTAACCAATTTCTTTTGACCGTTTAAAAGATGAAAAATAACAAGTGGTAAAGTTTGAAGATTAAAAAAAAAAAAAAAAGAGAACGTGCCAAGATAAACTTTTTATCAAGAAGCTGTATTTCATTGGGATATGTTTGCTTTTTGATCAACTCGCTTTTATTAAAACAGAAGTGCTGAGTAATCCGTGGTTACGAAATATATTATTTACAGAGCGATTAATCACAGATGACATAGATACATTTAAAAATGAAGCAATAGAAAAATCATGCTCTTTATTAAGCAAGTCTGAAAACTTTGACAATATAATAATCTATACGTGTAAAAGTGTGAAGCTTTGTAACAAATGGCAGTATGAGTGATTGCAGCAGCCTTTATAAAAAACAACACAAGAAGTTGGAACCAACCTTTTGCTGTATCTCCTGCAATCTCTTGATGGCAACTAGTTTTCCAATATCAACATTATATTTATGTTGATGATATATCGTACATGCACAACAAAGACAACAACAAAACCTCAAAAGTAGTAGATGCCGATCTCTGGTTATTAACCTCGAATTTGATTCTTCACGTATATTTTATACACTCTTTTGCCAATCTGTTGAACTTATCTACACTTTTTTCTCAAAAGTATCATCAACAATAATTCGCCAATCTTATACGTAAGTTTAGGTATAATAGCAGACAGCAACGCGATAAACGGAACGAACGTTCAACTCACTTTTGGATTTCATAAATGTAAATCACTCCTCTTCAGCTCGAATTATAATATCCTCTTGTAACTTGAGAGAAAAATTGTTTAAAACAAAGTAAGTATATGCAGAACACGCACTTGAACACTAAAATAAAACCAACGAACGGAGATACGGCAAATTCCAAACAAATTCGAAACAAGACGCGCACTGTGTTGGGCACTGTTAATGCCTTGGCGGGCAAATAAAAGGTGAAAAGAAGAGAAGAGAGAATAAGTATATGTAGGCAAGAAGCGACGAGGCGGCTGCTCTACACTGCTGCTCGTACTTCGAAAAAGACCGGCCGACTGTCTGTCGTTGCTGCTGGTATATGCCGTACAGCAGTTCTCTCTCTCTCTCTCGGGTAGTTTCAGCTTCGCTCGATTCCCCTCTTTCTCCGCCCACCAAAAGATAAATACAAAAAGGTTGAGGAACGATCCAGCCAGCAGTCCCAACAACTTTCAATAATACGGCAGCAGCCGGTGGTCCTGTTTCTCTCGTACTTATATAATGGAAATATGCGCGTATATAGAAATAGGAAAACTCAAACAGTAGGGCACGCGTCTGTATCTTTAGGTATATACAAAAGAGGATCCAACGGCGGCCGCGCGTGTGTGCGCGCAGTGACGTACAGAGGTACTTTACTATTACTTTCCTCGTCGAGCCTTCGCTCCTTACTGAGTCAACTGAGAAGAGAGGAGTGAGAACTATAAGAGGAACAGCGCACTAGCTGTCGGTGCCAAGCATATAAGTAAGCAGCTGCTGTTCGATGCCTGCTGCCGGCTGAGCGGCATATACCTATTATGCGTGTATATACAGGTATGTACGTGCACACGTTGTGCACTGCAGATGATCGCGTTGCCTCCCTCGGAACATCGGGACATTTTGAGCTGAGATTCGGCAATTGGAAGTACACTTGTTGTTTAATCATTATTAGGTACCTATCAAGTAAGTATTGGGACTGATTGTGCGGAGACCCGAGATAGTCAGAACATCACGTTGTCCCGTTTTAGCCAAATGTCATGTCAGGGCCATTTTTTGGTTTTACACGAGCACTGCGTACGGGTATAATTTTTAAAAGGTAAAACGCCCTCGTAACATAATAAGTATCTCTCGTCTTGTGCTGATACTACAATTCTTAGTACGACTTTGGACTCGCAAGCCTTTTTTTAATTGATCTTTTTTCCTTGTTCCTCGAGACGTACTTTGGGACTCTCGAGTTCCATACGAATTGACTTTTATTATTATTATTAGAGCTTGCGTTCCGCCGTTGTCGACGTTTATTTCTACCACTCGCTGAAGTAATCAACAAAAAAAAAAACCACATCTTTCAACCTCAGCCTCAAAATTAAAACAACAAAACACGATGTCCAACTTTAATCTTCGGCTGCGTCAGACTGAGTGTACCTATAGTTCTATTGCTTAGTAACATTATACATATATGTGCTTTAATGTCACAGCTTGTTTGGTTTCTAAGTTCATCATCAACGGGACTCGGACGCGGTCGAACGCAGCTTATCTGGAAGCTATTCTCGAATAAGTATATAATTTTTGAGCTCTGATTTCTGAAGACCCTCCGTACAGAGACCACTCGTAAGTAATTATACTTATCCTGCATCTATGAAAGTTTCAGATGTAGATGAGCACAGAGTGGAAAGGAGAGTAACGCGACACGAGAGAGAGTGCGATTGTTTATGCGAAACGGGCCAGGGTGGGTATAACAACAACTCTTGTTTGCCGTTTGGGACTAATAAGCGGATTTCCGTGATTATCAATTACGCGCGTGTAGATGCAATGTACGTATAGTTGGGCGAGGGAGTGTATACAATGCGCCTGATCATCTCTGGCCTGAACAGAATATAATATTATATATACGCGCAGGGAGCAATCGTTTTTAGTTTCACGTACGGTGTACACGCATCATTCGGCGTTTTGCCGAAAATGAGTTTGCCGGAGGGGAGTCGGTGATAGGATCTAGTTGATGGTGTTGTTGCACATCGATCAATCTTCCTTTTCTAGAGTGTAAGGTGCATTGCTCTTCGTGTTCATCAAGATTCGGAAGAAATAAAATAACTGTGCTCTTGAAAACTTGAGCGGTGGATTGGAATCTTAGTAGAGTATACCCCCTACGATTCTTGTTCCACAAAAGATCATCATTATATTATGTGTAATGGTCTCCGCGTTTGTACAGAGATAAGCCTGCTCGGGTACAGTTATAATTTATACGTGTATAGGTATCACCGCGGCTTTGCTCGCCGTCACTGCTTGAAATAGGCATGGACTACATGTGAAGCCGAGTCCTCGCATACTTGATCGTTTGGGCGAGTCGTCTTTAAATTTTGTTACAATAGTTTATGTGAACTTTGATAAACATTTGAAGTTAATTTTCGTATCGTTATGGTTGAGTTATCAACGTGTGCATTAAAAAACATAAAGGAAAATTATTTGATTGCTTCTTCTTCTGATGTCACGTAGGTATAACTATTTTTGGAGACAATGAGAGTACGGTCGTCAAGTATAAATGTATGATAAAAAAAACGCATCCCCATCTCTCCCCATTGTAATTGCTGATTACTTTTTTAACGAGTTTGTGTGAATATTAGTGATGCTGATGGGTGCACGTCATGCACACAAGCACAGTATACCACCGCCAGCTATATGCAGTATGCAAGTCAATAGGTGGTCTATTATCTGCCGAACGCTTCAACCTTGAGTGGCTGTACTCTAAAGAAAAAGCGTTTGTGTATACTTGCGTGCGCGCGTAACGATTTCCCAGATCATGCGCATCTCGTTTTCGAGCACAATTTGTCGATTTTTTTTTTTCTTAACGTACGCGATCTCTTTTACTATCATGCCTTTTTTTATTGAGGAAATGACGACTGCACGCATTGGAAGAGAGAGGACGGTGCATTACGTAAGTTGGTTCGTTTGAGTGTCTAGGTCTATTTGAGTCACGCTAATTCGTTAGGCTATCGATTACGATGGCTTTTTAATCGACGCAACGTGATTTTTCAGACTTCGTGTTCGCAGAGGCGTCACGGCGCGAGTACTTATGTTGTGTTGTATTTATATTTGGAAGTAAAATTGTGTTTTATTCTCAAACACTTGCCAAAAATTATTCGAAATGTCAACATATATGATGGATTAACAAAGTTAATAATCATTTATACAAGCACTTACCGTTCTCTCCGTCACCCAAAGGACTGCTCTCTTCGTCAGCTCTCTTCTGACGCTCGACTATGGTTGGGAAAAGAGCAAGCCATTAATTTTTGGTCATGCTTTTGAAAAAAAACTTTAAAACACGATATTTAAAAAAAATTACCATGATGGAACTGATTTTGATTCTGGTGTGACGGAGGCTTCTTTTCTAGACGAATACGTTCCATGAGTTTACTGATACAGTCATTACCTTTATCCTTTTTAACTAAAGGACCTGGACAGTTTTCTTCAACGATTCTAACACACTGACGATGAACGTTAAGGGTACAATCTAAAAGCATAATGATTTTTTAGTAAATTTTTAGAAATCGTTTGTAATTAAAAGTGTTTCACGAGTATTACAATACTTACTACTGCATTGATAACCTTGAGGGCCGATACCACCGATTATGAACTGGCAGTGATTGCAATATTGAACGGTGTAGTACTGGATGATGACGAAATTATGACCTTTGACTGACATCTTTCTCTGCTTAACAGTGTATAATCTAGCTTTGATATGCGATTTGTCCTTAGCAACGAATGTCGGAACGCGATCCACGAATGTCAGCCGCACTTGAAATACTTTTGTTAACACCGTGGCAACACCAGCTGCGATTGAAAATTTGCGTTGATCGATGTTTTCTTTTTCAATATCCTCCCTGTCCCAAAAACAAAGTATTCTCTTGAGTTTACTAAGAAGTGAAATAAACATTATTGCTTCTGAATCGTTTATCAAACTTACAAATATGTTTCCATTTTTGGTAAAAGGTATGTTTCGATGATTTTAGTTTCTACGTTTTTATCACAAGCGCTTTCGTCAAGTTGAGCATCGCTTGGTCCGAAAAGCGTACCCAACCCAGCTATTCTCTTCTGCTGAAAATCAGCTAACTGTTCGTTAAGCTCCTCCTTTGCTCGACTCCTTGCTTTCCAAAATATCTATCAAAAAACACATTGTATGAATATTTCAATACTGAAGCTTTTTTATGAATATGAGACAGTTTGCTTACTTTTCGCAAAATTTCTTCTTTGTCGGATTCGTTTTGTAAAACGTTATCGATTTCACGAGCAATATTTTCATCTACGTTATTAAGACGCAAAGGCTGCAAGCGAATAAATAATGTCAGTCACAGGAAGTTTTTAATTTCTTTAATTTGAGTTAAATTTTTTTTCAAGACTTACAGCTCCAGGTACTAAGAAAGTCGAATGAATTTCGTAAGCCCATTTTTTCATTTCTTTAGCATTTCCCTTCTTATAAAGATCGGTTATGAGGTAGAATAACTGAAATAAAAATAAAATTTCCTTACTAAAAATATCCAGCATTCGTTATTGTTCCAATGCAATGATTGTGTACGTGTTATTACCAGACTAGAGGGATCGCTATTGGAAAGAACGTAATTCATGAAAACAGCGAGATGAGCGTGATGTTGCCACAGCTTAGATAACAATTTAAACGGGCCATGATCTTCCAACTGCCCCTGTGTAAAACACAATAAGCATTTTTTTTCTCCTTCAAGAAATACAAAAATTGACATAAAATAAAAGTAGATTAATTTATTTAAAAAGCCCTCACAACTTCTTGATCGCTCATATCGTCGTCCTCCATTGATATGATTGGCTGCTGAATCATTGGCATTCCTGGACTGCCTCCATCTATTACGCTCTGCGATCTCGGCGAAGATATTGCGTTGAAGTTATCAATAACACTCTAAGCACGTAAAAAAATATTCATCAATAACTACTGCTGATTAATGTATAGTTCATTGATAATCTCTATTCAAAAACTTTATCTCACTTCATTGAGAGACGAACAGGAGCTATCCCCATACGTGGGAGCTGGGTAGGGCGGTGGAGGTGTACCGGGTGGTGTTCTGTGTCCTGCCTGCGGTTCATCTAAATCTATACCGCTGTAGCGACCGCCGCCAGGCCTATTTAACGAGACTGACTGCTGAGCTAACTCGTTCATCAACTCCGTGGCAATGAAGCGTCGGCTAGCTTCGGCTGAAGATATGATGCCCAACTGCTCGGGACTCGATTTCGTACGTTGGTGCTTGCTTAGTACGCTGGATGAGCCCAAGTGGGCGCTGGAGAACTGTGAGTGATTCAGAGTTTCGAGTTAATTAATGAGTGTTTGGAGATATTATTTGTCGATTTTTCTTATCTGGTTTAGTAATACTTTCTTTTTGTCGTAAGCAAAAGTCAACCTCATGTTTCACATGAAAATATGCGTTATATAATTTATAAACAGAAAAAAGGCTAATAATAATAGTAATAAGTTTTGGACTT